TAATAACCTGAAATGCACAACTCGCCAACCCTAAAATGCATATATACTAAACTTATCTCTATGAATCTGTATAGTAATCGTCCAGTTCAAGTCTCATCAAAGTTACCATTATATAAAAAAACAAGTGAAGTCTTTTAATGATGCCAAACCCTGGCCATGTAGGTTGTGTAAACTATATATACACAACCTGATATTGGGAATGAGTGTGAGTATACCAAATTAGGTTGCCATTTCAGTGAGATTAAGGAGAACACACTACTAGTGTGTGTGTGTTTTTACAATGAATGAATGAATGGAGATCTTTAGACTCTTTCAGTAATTAACAAAGCTAGGAGGGGAAAAAGGTAAGAAGAAAAGAAGACCTGAATAACATTTTCAATCTTCACCTAATTGACATCTACACAGCACAGAGCCAACTACCACAGAATGCACATGCTTTTAAATGTACATGAGACAGTTCACAAAACAGACCATATGCTAGATAAAAAAGTCCTAAATAGATTAAAAGACTGAAACATTACAGATTATAATTTCTGAGCAAAGCATAACCAATGTACGCAAAACTCTGGGGGTGAGGGTAGGTATGGGGGGGGGGGAGGGCAATGGTAAGGTATACACACATATAATACCTTAATAAAAAAATGAAAAAAATTCTGAGCAGAACAAAATTAAATTAGTAATCAGTCATAGTAAGATAAACAGCTAAGTCCCAAATATTTGGAAAAAACCCATGGGTCAAAGAAAAAAATCATAGAAATTAGAAAATATTTTGAACTAGATGGTAATGAAATTACAATATAACATTATTTTGGTGATGCAGTTAAAGCAGTTTTCAAATAAAAAATTATGCCTTTATAAGGATAGTTCTCAAAAGTAGAAAAGAAAGGTTTCAGATCACTAATTTTCCACCTTTAAGATGAGTGAAAATTGCCTAAACCGGTTTGGCTCAATGGATAGAGCGTCGGCTTGGGGACTGAAGGGTCCCGGGTTCGATTCCGGTCAAGGGCACATACCTTGGTTGCGGGCATGTCCCCAGTGGGGGGTGTGCAAGAGGCAGCTGATCGATGACTCTCTCTCATCGATGTTTCTAACTCTCTATCTCTCTCCCTTCCTCTCTGTACAAAATCAATAAAATATATTAAAAAAAAAAAAAAAAAAAAGATGAGTGAAAATAATATGAAACCAAATCAGGTAGAAGGAAAGTGTAAAAGGAGAAATCAATAAAACATAAAAGGACAAATAGAGAATATCAACAGAAACGAAAGTTGATACTTCACTTCTATAGATCCTAAAGATCTTAAAGATGAAAAGATAACGTTAGAACAATTTCATAGCAGAAATCTCATCAACTTAGATGACATGAATAAGTGCTTTGAAAAAATAAAAAAACAGAAAAAATTTTTGAGAGTTCTATATTTTACAAATAAATTGAATTTGTAATTAAAAGCCTTTCCCCCAAAAGCCACAGATTAGAATATTTATTTATTACCCAAATCTACAAAGAACTGTTATAACTCAGTATGAGAGAAAACAATAAAGTAGATTTAAACAGATACTTCATTAAAGAAGACACACGAATTGCTAAAAAGGACTTGGGAAGATACAACATGATTTATCTGCAGAGGAATGGAAAATGAAAGCACAGCAGGTAGAAGGATCAATATGCCTTTTTATTCTATGGATCATTAATGGTCAACAAAAAGGGACATGCAACAGAATGGAGGAACTTCCCAAAAATCCAGGCTTATTCCAAGACAGGCAGAAAATAATTTTGATCCACATGAATTTAGAAGAAGTAAATATATAAAAGAGCTGAACCACCTGAGAAAGCAGAAAGGTAGTGGCTGGGAGGGAGAGAAAGGGGAATGCGGAGCTATCAGTCAATCCATGTACAGCGTGTGGGAACAGTTAATCATACTGTGGTGTATTCTTGAAATGCTATGAGATCTTAAAAATTGGTAAATTGTGAGATAATGGACATGGTTAACCTAACTGTGATAATTTCACAATTGCTATGTATGTCAAACCATCATGTGTACAATTTCTGTCTATTATATGTCAATGAAACTGAAAAAATATATATACATAGAGAAAGAGTTTTGAGACAAAATTAACCCCATTATCTGTCTGGGGACAGTGGGAAAAAGGTGGTTAATTGATGGTAGAATAAGAAAACAGGTAATAGAAACCTTGATTGAGGTAATGATTATAAGTGCATACAGCTTCAAACTCAATCTGTATACTTAAAATGAATGTGATCCATTGTATGTTTAAAAAGGAATGGGAAAAACCACAAGAAGAATTTTCTTTCTTCACATCTTCAAAATCGCTCCATTAGCATTTTTTAGAAATTTAGCTCAAATTGTATTTTAATCAGACCTACGAGTTTCTATATTATTTCTCAAATCATCTTTAGAACACTAATGTGAATGTATTCCCATAAATTTTGATGGCCAATTAAATGTGGAAATTGTTCGCAATACTTACTAGCATATTAAAACTTTCTTTACCCAGAATCCCTATGAAAAGTGCCTCATAGAACAGTTAGGGAAATGCCAACTGCTCTAAGAATCTTACCTTAAATAATTTTCTGAACTCTATCAATCTAAAACACTGTCAACCCTGAATAGCTACACTTGGGACAGGAAACAACATCTCAAATGGTTTAGGTCCAAAACTCAACTCCTGATAATTCCTTCCAAGTCTGTTCCTACTAACATCATCTTCCACAAGATTGCAGCATTACATCCTCCCAGCTGTTCGGGCTGAAAACCCTGGCGTCATTCTGGACTCCATGCTGTCTGAGATCCAGTTGTCCAGGGTGGTAACCTTTTTTCCCCCGCTAAGGGCCATGTGGATATTTATAACATCATTTGTGGGCCATACAAAGTTATCAAATTAAAAATTAGCCTGCTCTATTTGATCAAACATTTAATTAACTCACCCCTAATGCCTTTTCACAGGCCTGATTCACTTTAAAAATGTACTTAGCATCAGACCATGCTTCACACCTTCACCACAATGGCTACGCTGGTCCCACTCATTATCATCTGTCATCCGGATTAATGAACAGTCCAGAAACAGGCAAACTTTGTAACGAGCCAGACAGTAGATGGCTTTTCTGGGCATATGGCTTGTGGTGCAGTTACTCAGCTCCTCCATGGAAACGCACAGACAGCCGCACACAATGTGTAAATGAAAAGCATGGCTGGGTTTCAATATCGTTTGTTCATGAACAATGGAATCTGAATTTCAAAATAAAGTGCCATTTAAAAATATAAATTGTATGAGTTTTTTTAAAAAGCTTTTGTACATCATTTAATATTCAAAGACAAATAATTTTAAAACCAAAATGTTTAAGACATTTGCTCCAATTCTCATTTTATAAATAAGAAAACATACAGAGAAGTTTACTTACTTTCTGAAAGACACATAACAATAACAGACTTCTAACTGAATGTTCTTTCCCACGTTAATATTATTTAGAATTAAAGTAGCTTACAGCATGATTAGAATAATGTAATAGGGTGGTCTACTTGATATATTAGGTGAAATCATTTGTTTAGTATATGATATGAGCTAACTATTTTCAGTTATACGTCACAAAAACAGGCCTAATGTTAAGTAACTTGTTCTGATCATAGAACTAACAGACCAATATGCCTAGGGGAAGAAAACTCTTTTCTATAAATTTTTTCAGTATTGCACAATTATTTTTTAAAAGGAGAGAAATTATATGGCATAACAGTATACAATTACAGATTTTAGTTTATATTCTTTATAAAACCTATCAAACAGAATTTACATGGAATTCTTTTCTTTTAAGGAGATAATTTTCTTAAGTAGATAAAAATGTTTATGTTTTGTGAGTTTACTTGTAGAAGAAACTACCTGGGGAATAGAGAACAACCAGCATTCTTACTCATTTATGTAAATGTCAACAAATTTCTGTTCGACAGAATACTAACATTATTCCTCGTTTTTTCAATAGCAAGTTAGGACCACATTTCCATATATTTTACTAATATAAAAATGTTAATAATGTCTTAGAAAACCCATAATTTATTATTTATTTTCCACTGAAAAAGATGATACTCTGGTAGTACCATCACTGCCAAAGTTCCTACAGGTCCATGGAAAGAGTTGATAATCTGGTGAAGGCCTGGGAGGGGTGGGTGCAGAGTGGAGGGAGTGTGGAGGGGGAGGAAACAGAAAAGGGGACATCTATAATACTTTCAACAATGAAGACAAATAAAAGAATTAAAAGCATATAGGGTGGTGAATGCCTGGGGCGAACTAGAAATGGGCCAATGGGAAAAAGAGGGACATATGTAATACTGTCAGCAATAAAGATTTTTAAAAATTATAAAGTGTCTATAGGTTTCTGTAACAATGAGGAAATGCCAAGAGGGAGAAGGGAGGGGAGGGAAGTAGATGGGGAAGGTGATCGGGAGAGGGAGGGAGGGTGAGAAAGAACACCTAGGTGCCTGTGCACTAGGAGGCGGGAGCTCTTTTTCTAAAAGGGAGTTAGTCTAGCCCGGTGTGGGACCACCTCTCTCTGTGACAACGATGTGCCGGGAGAGTGCGTGGGACCCACGGGCAAGTCTAATATGTGCCCCCCAACACAGCTCCCCAACGAGGCGCCACTGTGGGTGCCTGGCGCTCACACCGGACAGGAGACTGTCCCCTCCACAAGAGAGCTCTCCTCTCCCTCCTCACGCTGCACCATGGCAGCGACACAAGGTGAAGAACTTCTGAAAAGCAGTCTCCTGATTCACCTTGCTCCCTTCACAACTCTAATGAACAGGCTTTTGCACTTACAGAACTGACTCTGTCTGTTGTCTACTGTATTATAGTAAAGGAGTTATAAATAATTCTTGTATTTTTATTTAAATAAGATTTCTAACAATACCTGTTTATTATATAATCTTACAATAATTTAAAATTAAACTGGAAAGGGGGTTGGAACCCAAATCTAAGACTTGGAAATCATTACTTACTGCAGGGACCAGTAATTTCTTCACCTCTTCCACGGCTCTCTTCAGTTTGATCTCTGCCCTGTTTTGAGCATCTTCCACAGTAATCAGCACGTGCAAGTCTTCGTTGAGGTGCTCCCAATTGGGCTTGCCTCTATTTTGCTCCTCCTAAAAAATTTACAAAGTAAAATATTACACGTTTTTCAAAAAAGAAAACATACTTTTCATAATACTAATCTGTTGGCAACTATTTAAGATACATTACATATTTTTCTATGATGACGTTTTATTTTCCTGGCAAAAAACATGGAGGTATTTCACAGGCCACAGCAATAGTCAGTGTCCCAGAATAAAGATCAAGAGCACTTAGAAATACAAATAACTGCCCCCAAAAGTAATATTCACACAATCTGGCACCTAGTCAGAAATTAATAGGCAGACAGAGAAGCAGAAAATTGTAACATCTGATGAAAAAAAAAAAAAATCAATCAAAACCAATCTCGAACAGACACAGATATTGTAATTAACAGAAACAGAGACACTAAAAGGTTGTGTGTGTGTGTGTGTGTGTGTGTGTGTGTGTGAGAGAGAGAGAGAGAGAGAGAGAGAGAGAGAGAGAGAGAGAGAGAGAGAAGGGGGTGGGGAGGACAGACAAAAGCCAGAGGATGAGAGAGAGAGAGAGAGAGAGAGAGAGACAGAGAGAGAGACAGAGAGAGAGAGAAGGGGGTGGGGAGGACAGACAAAAGCCGGAGGATTTAAAAAGAGAAGGACTTACATGACAGGAACAGAGAACAAAGTTGCAGTCTAACTTTACATTGTGCTTTATTACAGAAATACATTTATGAGTTGTAAAACACCTAGGTAAATGTGAACAATTCAATAGTTTAAGTGCCGATTAAAATACTTATCCTAATGCTTGCTTCAAAAGAAAGCTTTGCTTATAGTTTTTCAAAGCTGTTGAAAGAACACTTACGTACAGACAAGATGGTGAATCTCTACATCGCTGCCCCCAAACAGCTGGTGGTCGGAACCCCTAGCTCCCGGCCAAACACTAGAAACGCACCCCTGCACAGGCCGCTTTCCGGAAGGAGGTGTGCGGGCAGCTGATGAGCCCCTTTATACAGGAAGTCTGAGGTGCCCAGTTCTCTGTGCTCCGCCCAGGGAAGGCTGCCAGCCATAAGCTGGGGGCAGGTGATTGGAAGACCTTTCTGTGTGGAATCTAACCAGCCAAACACACACACACAAAACAACCCGAACCAAGAAAGTAACCCCAGAGCAAGGACAAAAAAACTAAAAAAATCTGCAGTTAAGAGAAGATACATCCTTAAAACAAGCAGAGTCCTGGCCTGTGTAGTCAGTGGTTAGAGCGTAGGCTGGAACATGGAAAGGTCTCAGGTTCGATTCCCGGTCAAGGGCAAGTACCTGGGCTGCGGGTTTGCTCCTCATCCTACGTGGGGGCGAGTGCGGGAGGCACCAGTTGATGTGTCTCTCTCTCCCTCACCACTTCGCCCTCCCTTTCACTTTCTCTGAAAATCAATCCAAAAAATGTCATCTGAGGATTAACAAAACAAGTAGAGAATGCTATTAAAATAATTCAAAACATTAAAAAAACAAAAACAGAAACATAAAAAAGAATGACACTAAAAATATGATAGTATAAATGAAAAAAGCAATAGAGAGGTTAGAGGATAAAATTTGAGGATTTCTCCCTCCAATTGGAAGCGAAGACAGAGGAAATGGTAGAAAAGCACAAGAATTGCAGGTCTAGTCCAAGAGGTTCAGGAACCCAATGATTAATGTCTCACCAAGAAAAAGCAGCCCAGGAGTGCAAGTTCCTCAGCATGACACACACCTTTAAAACCACAGAGAGCTTCCAAATGCATACCCTCTTCACCACAAGGACTACATGACACGGGAACTAAAAGCAACCAGTCACCGAGAGCACAGTAAGTACACAGGGCAGTAACAGCAATAAACACCAAGACTCTCTTCAAGAGTAGGAAATTGGGGGACATGGGCAGCAAAGGAGGGGGAAAAACCATGTATTCCACATAAATTCTTACAGAATTTCCTATATTTAATCTATAGCCATATCAGACTTGGTTTTAAAAAAAAAAAAAAAAAAAAGGTTTTAAGATAATTCTGCCCAGAAGTTACATTTATCCAATTGTAATCCATTCTAACTCAAGAGTTATGGATAAGTAAATTCCTCCAACATTGAGTTTTAAGCCCAGTAATTATTCAAAACAAATATAATTTCTCCGTGTGTTCTCTTTCTGTTTCTTAAACAGATAATACAGGAAATCTTTAGTTGGCAAATACTCTAGAAGTCTATGTTTATCCCTATAAAGGTTCCATTTGACAGGCGGGATACTCACCACTATACTAACGAAGAAAAGCACTAAAGGTTCTATTTGAGTCACAAACGAGAATTAGAATAAGACTATGCGGTACATACTTCTGTATTCCAAAATATCTACATTAAGAATCCACCCCCCAAATTTCTCACTTCAAAAAATGATTTGGGACAAAAGTGGAAAGGAAGCAAAGAAGAGGAATAACAAATAAGATACACATGGTTTCCCCTTAGAAACAGGGGTCTATGAGGCATCAATTTCTTTTAGTTACATTTAGTTGTATTCAGGAGTCAACTGAGATACTAATGTAGGAAAACAGCTCATTATTACTCATTATTACAACGTCTGTCTTATGGTTCCCAAAACAATGTCATTTCAGATTTTGTGCCTCTGAATCTTCAGCAATGCAGCACATCAGGTTTCCATTTTCAGCAGTCTTCCAACTCAGACTGCCAAGTGGACTGTCTATCATGACCCCGGATGTCCAGACTGCAGCTCATTACATATCCCTCCTCCAAACGGCCACAATTATGTCTCAGCTATTATTCATCCTGAGGTTTTTTAAAAGACCTGTGGATTTTTAGAACTTGCGGACAAGGACCAATTGAGTTTGTAGAAAAATACTTGAACTGTAACCATAAGATTACCTGTGCCTTGAGAGAGGGAGGGGCAGCTCTCCCTTCAGCCTCACTGCAATCCACACTGCCTTCAGGTGCCATCCTGCTCTGTCCCACAGTAGCTGCCCGCTCCGCACTGCAAACAAACTACCTGTTCCCAAACATGGACGTGATACCCATGACTCTAGGCAAGTTACCACCCATGACCAGAATGCTCTCCTCCCTTAATATTTTACTCTTTGCTCTAAAAATCATACTATAATTTATGGTTGTGTTTGTCTTATTCTTGCTATTCAAAAGTTTGATTTCAGTTAAATATCAGAATGATGCATGTCTCACTGATTTTTCTATTTAAAAAATATGTTTTTATTTATTTCAGAGAGGAAGGGAGAGAGAGGGAGATAGAAGCATCAATGATGAAAGGGAATCATTGATCATCTATTTCTGCATATCCCACACTGGGGATTGAGACCATAACCCATGCATGTGCCCTGGTCAGGAGTTGAACTGTGGCCTCCTAGTTCATAGGTCAACGCTCAACAACTGAGCCATACCAGCCAGGCAGTTTTTTTAATTCTTAACAGTATTTATACACTGGTTTTACACATACGTAGCTTTAAACAAGTATCTACTGAATTCAACAGCTGAGCTTTTATTATTGAGGAGCATCATTAAAATCAAGTGTCATTAAAATCCTGCAGCTTTCCCCACAGCCCTCTGCTACACTCCAAGCTACTGTGCATGCCTGTACCATCAGACTCCTCACTGTCTCCCCAGATCATTTGTGTGGTTTCTGGGCCTGACTCTGTGTAAATGGCAGGTTACATTTGACAATGTTTAGCCCTATCTTTTATTATTGTTCTCTTATTTCTAGTCAACTCTCTTAGATTTTCTACAATTCTGATGAGGTCTGCTTTTCATATCCCATCAAAGATACTGCTTTTCCTTTATCACCTCTATACTATAACTTGTTTCAATGTATCAGTAGGAATATAAGGGTTAAATTCTTTTATAAACTAAAAGACTAAAGTTACACATAACAGAGCAAAATGACAACAAAAACAAATATATACAATTACTATGTGTATAAATATTTTCAAAGCACAAAACCGCTAACCCTTTTTTGATTTAAGGGAAGCTGAAATGACAAGACAGCATTCAAAGAAATGGAATATAGCTTTATTTATATAGTAAATTAAAGTTTAATAATATATTAAAACAACCTTATAATACCACCCATACCTGATTAGAAAAGTTAGACACTATTACCTATGATACTTTGTTCAGGTCTACATTTTTGACAAGTATACTATAAAGAAAGAAATTTCAAATAACTCTTAGTCTTGCTGGTGATGATAAAACATAAACTGACAAATATAAAAAATGGTACCCTAGCTGGTTTGGTTCAGTGCAGAGCATCTGCCCACAGACTGAAGGATCTAGGATTCAATTCCGGTCAAAGGCTTGATCCCTGGCCCGGTCAGGTGTGTGCGAGAGGAAACTAATTAATGTGTCTCTCACATAAATGCCCCACTCCCATCTCTCTGTCTCTTGCCTATTCTTTCTATTTTCTCTAAAAATCAATGCAAAAATATCCTCAGGTGAGGATTAACACACACACACACACACACACACACACACACACACGAAAAAAATGAAAGCGATAACGATAGCAACTTTTATTAAACACATTGAATGCTAAGAAATATAGACACACCCCTTCATTTAATCATTTAATCACGTCATGAGGCAATACTATTCTTCTTCCTAACATGTTAATGAGGAGGGTGAGGCAGATATGACTTGCCAAGTCGTACATACAGTAAACAGGCCAGTGTCTCAGTGTCTTGTGGTAATCGCTGCAAGCACCTTTGAGAAAAAGACGCCCTCGAGTTCCACCCACTGCAGACAGTCCCGTTTCTCCCCGAATGAGTCTGGGTCCCCAGAGTCTTGCCCGGAACTGGAGTTCAGTGCAGTCAGGAGCTTTTGTCTCCATCCCGCTTGAGAAAGCCAGTCACACACTCAGTTGCCAGTCCTCTCCGTGTGCGTCCCAGTACCTCTGCCTCCTGCACCTCCTCTGAGTCTCAGTGTGCTTTTCTCTTTCCTTCTATAATAGTTGTATAATTTCTACTCAGCCAGCCTTCCTGTGGTTCTGGATGATGTCCATTTTGTCTTTTAGTTGTAGTTTTAAAAT